CAACTGTAAACTTTTGGTTTAGGAATACGGTATTGGCTGATTCTTCCTGTTCAGCCTCAAATACCAACCTATGAAAATATAAAGCAGAAGGACAAAATAAACATATTTGGCACCACTCACTGACAAATAAATGATTCCGTAACAATAATAGAGATACAGGGGCCAAAACAAAGCTGCTGGTCCCCAGGGGTGGACAAGAAAATACAGTCCCTCCTCCACTGCAATGGCATTAAAGCTACTTCTCAATGACAGACAAAATCACAGTAGAGCTTTATTAGTTCACACGTCCCAAAGGAACAGCAAAGAGACCATGACTGGCACCGCATATAGTGTGAGAGGGTTTGAGTCACACCCACCGAGGCTCTCCACCACCACTGGTGAGGGTGGAGAGACCTCAGTATTCCTTTCTCCGTACTTGTACTCTCATTTTTGGCTGACAATGGAGAGAGAAGAGGTTAAACATGAACAAAATCAGGTGGAAATCCTGGATAAGTTTAAACATTTAAAATATACTTTTAAATTTCAAAAAGTAAACCTATATGTACATGTATGGCACGTTAATACACTTCACAGTCTAGCTCACTCCATAAATTGTGAACCTTTTGTCTATAAGCATTCATAGAACTGTCCAAAAATGGGCTTTGACTGCCTCCAATGATTACAAAGCCACCACCTGGTCACTTCTTCCTGCTATCGGGGATGATCCAGTCACTAGCAGGTGGGGTTTAAAAACAGTCTTCTGATGACTCTTCTGGGCTGAAGGACTTCAAGGATAAGTGACACTAAAGCATCCTGTAATACTAGCAAGCAACAGTTTCCCAAATCTACTTCCCCCATTCCCAGCCTCCTATCTGACCTAAACCTTGCAGGTGATTTATCCAAAAAGGAGAAGGATCCCTTGGTTAATGATTCATGTGTACCACTTCCTGCTCTCCTGAAACCACACTCCAATGCAGTCCCTTAAATAAAAGCCCCATATCTCGCCATCCTCCTGAAGTCACACTGGCATTTGACATGTTGGTTGTGGGTTCCTGACATTCCCCTGCAGTGAGAGGGCCTCGTCTTGGCCCCAGCATTTACTGGGATTCCTCCTTTCCTTCAGTCTCCCTCCACTCCCAGCACACCTCTGGCTGTATTTTATTAGTAGTAGTAAATGTTATTTTCATTTAAAACAAACAAACGAACAAACAAACCACGTTGGGGGGGGGGGTTGGAGCTTACGCTGCAGAATACTTTCCTTAAGCCTAAAATATACATTCTACTCTTGAGACGGACTTATAGCTGCCCAAACTGCATAAGCTTAGATGCTTGGTAGAAGCAATGGAACTTCTTTGCTTTTAAAAACATAACATATTTGGCTAATTTAGAATAGACATATTTTCAAGATATTTAACTTCTTATAACATTTTAACAAAATTAACAAAAGCAGCAGTGTTATTCAAGTAAAACAAGGTGTTTCCTAACTATTAAAGGTAAAAACCAGCCAGGTTATCATTGCCATAATATAACCTAGCGTTCTCATGTTTATGATACTAATTTGACTTAGAAAGAAGTCTTAACTGCTCCCCTCCTCTACCTCGCACTAGCATGAAATGCCATTCTTACCTTTCCTTTACACCATTTCATCTCCAAGCATCCAGAAAAATGATGCCTGGTGTACAGCAGGCCCTTAATGTATGAAAGGAATCTGTTGAATAACTATAAAAACTTTTCGAATGAGAAGCCTATTTATTGAGAGTATTCCTATAAGCAGGCAACAATGGCAAAAGCTATTGTTCAGGGATAAAAATGTCCAAAGGGTGACTACAGTAGAAATCCCTACCAATGAAGGATACACATACATCAAGAAGTCTCAAAAAATACAGAAACACATCACAACCTTGACTGAAAGCTGGCTCAAAACAAAACAAAAAAATAGCTATAAAGATATTCTTGGGACACTTGGGGAAATTTAAATATAAATTGGATATTAGATGGCATGATGGCTTCTTAGGTTTAATAAGGGTATTGGTGTTAGGTAGAAGAATGTCCTTATTCTTAGGAGATAAATGCTTACATATTTAGGTGTAAAGTGTCATAATATCTGCAACATACTCTCAAATGATTCAGCCAAAAAAATTACTCTGTGTGTGTGTGTGTGTGTGTGTGTGTGTGTGTGTGTGTGTGTGGAGAGATAAAGCAAATATGGCAAAACAATAATGATTATTCAATCGAGGTGCTCACTGCTTTGTTCTTTCCTGTATGGTTGAAATTTTTTCAAAATTAAAAGTTGGGGAGGGGAGTGGCAAACAAAAAATAACTTGCAAAATGTAGATAAAAAAATTTCTTAAACACTAGCCATATAATCCTGGATTGGCAGGTTCTTATCAAATTCAGCTTCCAGGGGCAGAACTTCTATCCTGTCACCCACCCTTACCCTAAAAGTAAGTTTTCACCAGATAAGAAAGCTGTTCCAATTTTAATGCTGCTAAAAGTCTTACTTCTTGCATGCCATTGCATCTGTCTACTTGTCTGCCCTTTGGCTCTGATTAAGCAAAGTACACAGTTGCAACAAATATATCTCAACATCACATAAAAGCTATAAACACGATCATCTCCAAACCATTAAATTCTATCCCTGCTTTAAAATCCTCCAGTGTCACTGCTCTTAGAATGATACCCCAACTCCTTACCATGGCTACAAAGCCCTGCTTGATCTGGTCCTGCCTACCTTCCCAACCCACCCTGCCCACCCCAATCACTTACTACTACAATCCCAGGATTGCTTCCCACCTCAGGGATTCTACATAAGCTATTCTCTCTGCATGAAATGCTCTTCCCAGCCTTGCTAGTTGAGCCTTGTCCATTAGGTCTCAGTTCAAGTGTCACTTCTTCAAGAGGCCTTCTCTGACCACATTTCCTGAAAGTGGATCTCCCATGTAAGAGTACTTCAAAGAGTTCATGGAAAAATAGAATTGAAAGATAATATGAATCTTTCCATGAACTTTTTGAAGTACCCTCATATTCACTGGATGCATATTCATTTTCTCATTTCCATATTATATGTATAATAGTGCAGATCTACTTCTCTTTTTTACCACTATTTCCCCAGTGCCTACCACAGAGCCTAGCATAGGCTCTAACAAATATTTAAATTCATAATAGGGGAAAAAACAACCATTCGAAGAGCCACAAAAACTGAATTGTAATCCCCATTTTTGTGACTTTTTTTGTGACCAAGTCATTTCACCTCTTTGAGCAGCAGTACCCTGATGAAAATGAGATAACACAAAAGTGTTTTCAAAAGCAAAAAGCATTATACAAAATATATATTATCATAACCAGCTAGCTCTGAGGTTTAATCATATCCAGACATCTTCTGTTTTCATTTTCTTACCTTCTTGTGATTGTAGATTTCACCATTATAACAGAGCCACAAATAAGGATATTTCTTCAGTCGAATTGGCTGCATTCCAAACAGCTGGTCAACCACTGCCAACCGGTGAAATCCAAAGCAGCAGTTGGTGTATCCGTTGACATTCTCAAAACGAAATGCATCTGGACCCCTGTGTGCAATCTTCATAGCACTGAGACACTGAACAGAAAGGCAGTCATCGCTGCCAAAGAGGGCCCAAATGCCACACATGGTGCAATGAAGCTACAGGCTCTCTGTGGAGAGAAAACCAGATCAATCAAATACTCAATATCTGATCCAAGTCTGTATTAAATCTTGATACCAGAAACTGGCATAAACCACTTCAAAGACCAAAATATAAAATACCTCATCTAAAGCAATTTTCTATTTGGTTGGCAGGTACATAGGAGTACAGAATGATTTAATTTACTGACAAGTATTCGGAAAAGATGGATGACCTTTACATCTAACCTGCTACAGGAGCTTAGCGCCCAGCCAAATCCTACTTCTCTCCCTCCTCAAGATTTGGTGGTTGGCTAGAGCTGGCAGCATCCAGGCCGCATTCTGTCTCTGCATCCTAGGTTTGCTCCAAAAAGACACATGCAGGCTTGCTCCAACCTAGCCAAAGATCCAGCCCCACTGTCTCCACCCCAGAACCTCAAAAGCCCTCAAAGATCCAGGAGACTCTCCAGATTAATAAAGTCTCCTCTCCGGTCTCCTTGACAATGAATTGCCCTCTCTTTACCTGTGCTAACTGCAGGTAGAATCAAGTGGATAGAATAGAAGCTCATACATACTGCTAAAGCGTAATATTAAGATATACAGCCCTTACAAATATTTCACAACTTTTAGCTTACCCCTAAGTGATTTATTCAAATGTGATTGAAATTGAAAAAAGGCCTAGAGAAAAAGCAATATAATATGATATCATATACCCTGGCTTTATAACAAACAAAACATTTAAAGTTGAAAGAAGATACAAAATTTCACTATCAAAATGTCCTACAAGAGAAAAATGTTCTCAGATATTTCTGTCTCAAAGCTGCCTTGGTCAACAACAAAAAAAAGCAGGTGGGACATATACTCCAGCAACATCCCTGAAAAACAACTTGGCTCATCCCTATAGGCCAGGAACTAAATAAATAGTTCCTACATATGTTAACTACTTTGCAATTTTGAATTCTCAACCCTGAAATAAAGGGCTGTTTTATTTGTATCCTGCCAGCTCCAATCAACTATTTTAGCAAAATATCTGTAACTTGAAAAATAACTATGTTGGTCCTTGCAAAAAAATGCAAATCGGCAGCAAATACCCTCATAATTTGGGTCAAACATCCTAAAGAAAAAAATACATATTCAAGTTATGTCAATCATTTTGAGCAATCCTTTGAAGATATTTCACTTGCATCTAAATGAACCAAAGCTTTGGTTAGCCTTTCAATATGACCAGATCAAAGAAATAGAAAGTGGTATGGTATCATCTCAAGCAATTTGGAAATGAAGTACCACATGTCCTATGCAGTCCCTTCCATGCAGTTGGCCGAACAGCCTATAATAAAAGATTGACTTTGAGAGTTGGTGGGAAAATTCACTGAGATTTAACTAGATGACTACTAATAAGCCATCTACCTCTGACTCTATAGCAACTAAAAATGGGTTGGGAAAGTGCTTTGAAAATCAGGTGTGGTCACTAGGGCAAATCTTCTTAATGCTGCTTAGTGAATCCCAGTATTAAGCCTGTTATAGGAAACACACCCTAACCACTAAATTGGAGGGGAAAGAGGGAGAACAAAAGTTTGTGAAGCACACTAATTCTCCAGCAGTAAAAAGCAAATTTAAATTATAACCAGTTACTTTTATTGGAATCAATCTTATAGGAGGGCAAAGATCCTACCTGCAATGCTTTTTCCTACTGCTCTTATCTGTTCCCAGTAATTTTCCATATTCCTCATAAACTTCTACAGCACTGCTGTCCAACAGAAATGTTAACCACACATGTAATTTTAAATATACTACTAGCTCCATTAAAAGTCAAAAGAAAAAGGTGAAATTAATTTTAAACATATTTCATTTAATGCAATATACCCAAAATGGTATCATTTCAACCTATAATCAATATAAACAATTATTGAAGAGATAGTTTATATTGCTTTTCCTAATAAATCCTCAGAATCCGGTGTATTTTACAGTCAACAGCACATCTCAGTTCGGACTAGCCGGCATTTCAAGTGCTGAGGTAGTTACACGTGGCTGCTGTCTACCGAACTGGACAGCGCGTTTTCAGTGCATTTAATTCCTATTCTACTTACCAACTCCTTAAATTTCACCATATCACCTTATTCTTATGTTAAGATCCCAGTAACCAACTCCTGGACAAGTTAAAGACTACGTTAGTCTTACAGCAATAAAATCAACACAAACAAAAGAGTTATCAGTGCTTCTAAATTATTAAGCAAGCACCCAGGACCATGCACAGGGAACAACGAACGTAGGCCACGGGCCGAGAAGAAAACTGTCCCTTTATTTAAACAGGAACATTAATCTGAAGCCAGCTCTGTGGAACAGCTGTCCATCGAGAAAAGGTATACCAGTTCTTCTGCCTTTTTCCGTATTTAGTCGCCTGTGTCCCTAAACAATCTCCTCCTCGTAGGGTTTGCTCATCAAGTCACTTGCTGAGTCTTGCAGTCTACAAAGAAGGGGAGGGAGGGTAAGGAGGCAAGGTGAGGGGAGTCTAGGTGAGTTGATGGGGTGGGTACAGACTTCGAGGCTGTGTCTGACAACTGACAATGCCAGAGACCCTCCCTCCTAGAGCAGGACCAAGAGACCGCATCGCCTCCACGACATCCGCCTGCGCCGCGGCCACGTGCGCGCTCCAGTCGGCCCGCGGACCACGAAAATGTCCACAGGGTTCGCCGCCATATGGTAAAAAATAATAACCTTTACCGGGGCTAACTTAGGCCGCCGCCGCCTTCTCCCCGGAGCGACTCGGCCTCCGGCAGCCTCCCCTCGATCTCTCGGCGGACTCCGAGAGCGGTCTTTCCCGGCCAGCGGGCTCCCAGGTGCGCAACAATCAAGGCGCCGCCCCGGCCTCTCCAACCCGCAGGAGCCGCAGCACCCGCGGGGCGCCCCGAACCGCGTCTGCAGGCGCCAGGCTGCGGCGCATCGTCCTCCCCACCCGGTGCAGCTCCGGGGCACGCGGGCGCGGCGCTGCGCGGGGCGGCGGC